GCTAGGATCTCATTCGTTATATCAAGATCTTGAGCGTACTCAACAAATCTTAATAAAATATTTAGGTAGATACTATTATCAAATTTATCTTTATACAACTCTCAGATCATTAAACTAACAACTTTTTATCTTCACACATCTTCTGTATTAGCTTAACAAGCCTCTAAAACTTATCACCTTGAGTGTACTCAACAAAAGACAAATTTTAGTTAAATCAAACCCATCATTCAGAAATATCAAATATTTCATAACATATCTCTAATAGATCAACCTTGAGTGTACTCAACAAGTTGAGATCGATTTAGAATTTTTGTTTTTCACTATAATGACAGAAGGCAAATAGTACCGACTTAATATTTTAACGAGTATATATATATATAATCATGCATCAACTATGCAAATAAATATACAAATAATAGTATGGATTATTATGGACTTATTATATCTAGTTTTCCCGAGCCAATGGGAAGACTAGTGGGTCAATTCTTAAGAGGTACAACATTGAATCAATATCAATGCACCATTTCCATGGGTTTCTCATTTTCTTTCGCCTTCAATTTGTCCAGTTGCAATATGTATCCTATACTAGTTGGCACGCAAGCCTAAATGAAATTGGACTCGCAGGTCCATGATAATAATAACGACAATAGACTCGCAGGTCCAAAAATAATAAAGAGCTCGCAGTCCCATAACAATAATAATAATAATGGACTCGCAGATCCAAAACAATTAAGAGCTCGCAAGTCTATAAAACAACAAGAATTAAATCAACCATTCAATACATCCACATGATCGAGTTCATAATCATCCATAAAGGAAACATTCATCACATAAATAAACATTCATCACATAAATGTTTCCTTTATAATATCTAATATTATATGCAATGTTTCAATAATCTAGCAATTATAGTTGTCAAAACTCATTTAAAAATTGGATCAAAATAATTAAATAATTAATTAATCATATTAATTAATTAACTTAATTAGCAGGCCTATTTAATTACAATCAAATTTTAATTAAATTCCGGATTAGAGTCCAACTCTAATTCTATAAAAATTTAGGGTGTGAAAATTTAATTAAAATCAAATTTTAATCAATTATTAAATTAGAGTCCCACTCCAATTTCAATATACACTGGGGAAATGATATTAATTAAAATCAATTTTTAATTCATATAAGATTAGAGTCCAACTCTAATTAAATGGAATTAAAATTAAATATTTAAGTTAAAATCTAATTTTAACAAAATACAAAGTCGTTAATTTTAAATATAATTTTAACTTTGAGCCAATTTAAAACACGGGTCAAACCCAATTAAAAATAGAAATTTAAAACTCATTTAAAAATTGGAATTTAAAACACATTTTAAAATATTCACATTAACCTAAATTTAAAATTAAAATCTGACCCTTCTAATATAACAAACTGCAAAAAAGGTCCATGGCTTAAAATTGCAAATTTTACCCATTTTCATAATTACAGGAGCCCCCCTCCCCCCGCCCCCCAAATTTCACAAATTTCTAAGGAGGCCCTCGTCCCCAAACCGTTTCTACAAGAACGCTAAATAATTTTTTTATTCATCTGGAGGCCCCATCCCGCCCTATAGCGGGCTCTTGCCTTGAAAACAGCATGCAGCGACGTCTGCTGCCTCTTAAGGCAGCAGCATCTGTAGCTGCAACCGCACGGATTCAAAATTTTTTATTTTTTTATTTTTATTTTCAAAACCGGATTTTGAATATAAATAAAATTCCTTAATTGCTAGATTCGAGAACATGTAAAATCAACTTTTGATTTCATCAATATGTAAATCAATTCTTAACAAATACAAAGTTGGCTCTGATACCATTGTTGAGAATTTATTTAAACATGCACAGCGAAAATAAAATAATTTTAATTCTCACGAGGATTCATCTTTGTATTTAGATAGGAATTGTGATAAAAGCTATACATTTTTTTAGATCTGCAAACTCCTTTGCATTATCTTTGTTCCAGCAACCTGGATCTGTCTCCCACAACTGTCCAATTGTCCAACCTCCAATGAATTTCATGCAGAGAACAGATTGCAGCCACCAGGGTTTTCTCCTCTTATATTAGCAAAAATTATGAGATTCTATGCAGATTGAAAACCCTAGCCATGTATTTATATAAGCCCTAACAGGCTTGGCCTGATCCGATCCAATATTTAATCCATTTAATTAAATCCAGTTCGTAAATTAATTAATCTAATTAATTAATTCGGGTTTATAAATAACCAACCCAATTAATTAATTTATCCAACAATTGTTAAATTAATTAATCGACAAATTGCAATCTTTCAATTCTCTTTTGTGTGCGACCCATTAAGTTCCCGACCACAATGTCAAACGACGTAAAATATTATTTTGATCTAATCAAAATTGATAAATTAAAATACTCTTTTAATTTATCACAAATTTACACTCGTCGTCCCAGATTGACATCTAGCAATGTATTAGAGCAACACATGTGACGAAAAATATCACGTGATATGACAAAATCAAACTTGTTCGTTTACCATAAAACTATAATCCCTTCGTCAATATGATCATATTAATTACGAGATATGAAAATGTGTCAATCTCAATTATCGATTATATCTTTCATTCTACTGTTAAGTCAATGTGAGTTGAAAACTCTTTTTCGACTTATGAGTATACCTTGGCAAAGGATTTCATTATTGACTTAATTGAACGAAATTCAGATCACAATCTTTTACTATCTAAGAGTGACGAATTCTCTATTGGTCATTCATAACCTTCATATGGTTCTTGACATACCTAAATGATACCGTATTAGCGTCCCTTGGTAGAGCAACATCCAACACCGCCAAAGCATGACTGTCCTCATACATGGCACTATGATGACCTCAAGTGAAAGGACCAATTTCACTACCGAACGTTAGAGATTAATCACTGACATTCAGACAGTTATCTATGTGGAATCTCTTAGTGGGTCTCCAATGTTTCGTTTTATAACAAAACATTCACGCATTCATTTAAGTGTTACCACACTTTAACTCGTGAGATCAGCTACTTACTTCACAAATAAGAAATACCACACGTGACGGTATATTCGTAACAACGATATCCGTATCTCGTTATTACTTACAATCATGGATTATTCAAGATTCAATCATATGTAATTTGTATCTCACAATCACAATTCCTTGTGATTAAAAAGTCACTTAAACTTGAATTTTCGAACTCTATTATTTAATATTATTTATCGAAATATTAATTTAAATAAATAATAGATCTTTCCAAAAATAAATGTATTAAACATATTAAAAGTGTTTACAACCTAAATCAATTGGGTTTAGGGCATAACACTTACACTTTTGACCACTAAGACTGTCCGATTTGGATGCTGTTGGAAAGCCCACAATGTTCTCTTCAATTACCATCCAAAATCTCCCTATAACTCCAAAGGATTCAGTCAATATAAGCCCACATATTCAGCTCCTCGAAATTTGAACATTTGTCCAAATTTTTGAGATTTTTGGGTGAGTTTTGTGACAATTTTTCGGCAACTGCTGACCATAAAGACCGTCAGATTTGGATACTTTTAGAAAGCCCACAATGCCTTCTTCAATAAACGTCAAAACCTTCCCATAACTCTAAAGGATTCGGCCGAAACAAGCTTACAAAGTTAGCTCCCCAAAAATTTGAAAATTTGGGCCTTTGTAGTTATGAGGAGATTTTGGGTGATAATTGAAGAGAACATTATGAGCTTTCCAATTGTATCCAAATTCGATGATCTTGATGGTCAAAAGTTGCCAAAAAAATTATCTCAAATCTTGCCCCAAAATTTGAAAAATTCGGGCAGATTTTCAAATTTTGGGGAGTTGACTTTGTGGGTTTATTCCGACCGAATCCTTTCAAGTTATAAGAAGATTTTGGGTGGTAATTAGGGATGTCAAACGGGTCGAGCGGCTCGTCAGGTCGACTGTTCAGCTCGTCAAAACTAGACTCGTGGGTAGCTCACGAGCCCGAGCCAAGCAGGGGCCTCAATCCCACGAGCCGAGCTAAAGTTCACGAGCACAAAATCTCGGCTCTTGGGCTCGTCAAAAAAATTGAAAATTTACCCAAATATTTTTTTAAAAAATTACGAGCTCGCGAGAGGCTCATGGGCTCCGCTCGACCCGTGAGCTCGTGAGCTCACGACTCATTTTTCATTCGCCACGAGCCTGAGCCGGGCTCGTAGGTTAAAGGGCCAAGCCGAATCGATTCGACCCATTGTCATTCCTAGTGGTAATTGAAAAGCACATTGTGGGCTTTCAAACGGTATCCAAATTCGACGATTTTGGTGGTCGGAGGTTGTCACAAAATTGCGGCAAATCTTGCCCAAAAATATTAAAAATTTGGGCAGATTTTTCAGATTTCGAGAAGCTGACTTTGTGGACTTATTCTGGTTAAATCGTTTGGAGTTATGGAGAGATTTTGGATGGTAATTGAAGAGGACATTGTGGACTTTCCAACGGTATCAAAATTTGACAGTCTTTATGGTTGGAAATTGTCGCAAAACTCTCCAAAAATCTGGGCAGATATTCAAATTTCGGGGAGCTGATTTTGTGGGCTTATTCCGATCGAATCATTTGGGTTTATGGGGAGATTTTGGGTGATAATTGAAGATGACATTGTGGGCTTTTCAACGGTATCAAAATTCGACGATTTTAGTGGTTGGAAGTTGTTGGAAAATTGTCAAAAACCTCACTCTAAAATCTAAAAAATTTGGGTAACCGTTTCTATAAGTTTGTAAACTTCAGTGACCGTTTGTGAAAGCGCTCTAAATTTCAGTGATCATTTCTGAATGTTTTAAACTTCAATGACTGTTTGTGAAATTAACCCTATTTGTAACAGGAAAAATTGAAAAAAAGTAAAAAATAAAAAATCGTAGTACGTACTTATCCCGAAATGGCAAAATGGTAATAGCGATATTTGGCATGGACATTTCAATAAACATGACCTGACCGGCTCTCCGAGGGAAGCAGTAACTATTCTTATAAATTCTCAAAACAGAGAAAAAAAAAAAAAAAACCATTAATTTAGTCTCTCTAGCTCTCTTCGCCTCTGAAGCTGTTTCGATTATTTCTTGAGGTAAGGTATTATTTACAGTTAATCTTCGATTGATGTGTGTATACTTTGGCTCCGATTTTATGATTCATTTATTTTTATTTTATTTTTTAAAGAAACGTGTTAAAAATTGAATGTTTTGTTCTTTTTATTACTTTCTGGTGTTACAGGAAATGTTCTAAACCCTGGCTCGATTTTTTCGAGTCAAGATCGGCCAATAGTTCTCGATTTCCCGATTCAGGTGAAATTTATCTGTTTCATAGTCTATTCAATTAGGGTTCTATTTATTTTCATTTTCTATAAATATTTGTGTAAAGTTTCCACTTTTAACCAATATTTCATGTAACCTGTGTATAAAAAAAAAAGGAATTAATTTTACTAATATGGGCTAAGCTATTTGCTTTTTGGAATAAAGGGTCTGTGACAAAGGCGTAAATTTAGGATTTTTTTTTTTTCCTTGTGGAACACCAGCACGAGATTTTGTTGATTTTGTAATGAGAATGTGTACTAGTTGGGATGTTTTGTAGGTTTGTGTGTTGTCTATGAATTTGAATAACTATACTACATTTTGAACTTGTCACTTTAAATTTTATTTTTTCCTCAGAAGTGACTTACAGATGATCAGACAATGTTAGTTCTGTTGATTACGAGTTTTCTTTCTCACCAGACCATGTCATTGTCAATATTATTTTTTTCCTCGTAAGTGACTTACAGATGATCAGATAATGTTAATTCTGTTGATTTCTATTTTCCTTGTACATTAGTTTGGAAACTTTTAAAAATCATTGAGGTTTTATTATTTGGTATCAATAAAATGATCGACGGGAGTAATCTTTTTCCTCAGAGAAGCTTGAAAATGTTTGCCTAGTGCAAACTGAGCCGCTAATACTACTTCTTAAGAAATCTTTGATTCTACTCTTTGTTAACAAATGCAAACTTGAAAAATAGGTTTTCCATGGTATACTTCAATAAATTTCATGAGCTGTTTAATTGTCTGGAAAAACTCTCTGTTTTACCCCATACGTCAATAATTAAATGAAATGAATGAAACTCGTGCGGGGGGATATCAGAAGTGGCATGACTTTTTACTTTTTTGGTTGTCGATTGTACGTTAGTGCCTATCAGCTTGATTGCACTCTTTAAGTGTTTTGTACCTGAATGCCTTACACATGTACATGTTGATCCGTATCCTGGCAAATGGCAGCATATTTGTGCTAATGGAGTCTTCCAAAGAGACAGGCTGTCAAACTCCTGAAGGCCCGATTCTTTGCATCAACAAGTGTGGCTTCTTTGGTAGTGCAGCCACCTTGAATATGTGTTCCAAGTGCCACAAGGACATGGTCTTGAAGCAGCAACAGGCTAAACTTGCTGCTTCATCGATCGAGAACATAGTCAATGGCAGCTCAATGAGCAGTGAGAAAGAATCTACTGTTGTTGGTGCTGTGGATATGCAAGATGGAGCAGTGGAGTTAATGGTTGTTCCTGCACAAACATCCGGTGATAAGTTGTCAGTCCAGAGTTCAGAGGTGAAGGGAAAAGAGGGCCCAAACAGATGCACTGCTTGCCGTAAACGTGTGGGTTTAACAGGTTTCAGTTGCAGGTGTGGGAATCTCTTTTGTTCGGTTCATCGTTACTCTGACAAACACAATTGCCCATTTGATTACCGGACTGCTGCTCAAGATGTTATAGCCAAAGAAAATCCCGTCGTCAAAGCAGAAAAGCTCGATAAAATCTAGACATCATGGTCGCAAAATCTATGAACTGAAACATAATGCTTTCACTTTCTATATCCGTATGTCTTCATATAAGTTGGACACTTGTCTTATTAGGTCTCATGCTGTGATGTGAATGGCATAAGACAAGAGAAGGTGGCATCATTGCATTCTATTATAGTTCAAGTCTTGTTGGTTGGCTAGGGTAACTTTGGTTTGGTTCCGTGTGTAGTAGTCATTGTGCTGGTTTGAAGGATATTGAGGTGAAAATTATTAAATTTTCTATCTGGTGAATTTACATTATTACTGTCATTCTTTCTGCCAATGTTTTGATCCTTGATTGGAGGAAATGCGTGCATGCATGTGTTCAACTCGTGTCACCATGATATATCGCAAGGTATGCTTTTCGACGTGTGCCTTTTGTGTTCACTATAAGTGATTATCATATTTTCGAAATTAAGAGTTTAAATATTTCATTCCTTGCTTGGCAATCCTTTTTCTTCCTTTAAACAGAGAATTGAACCACCACCTTACAATACTTGGATCTTTCTTTTCTTTCCCAGATTGCATTAATTGGATACCGTCAACCATGCTTAAACAAGATAGTACACGGAATATCCGTAAACTGTGCAGTTTATTTGGTGTTCTTTTTCTAGTTTCTTTGCTTTTTCACCTCTAGTGTGCTCTGAATATGTATGTGCTGATGACCCCCTTGTTATGTGTCTATATGCTTATTTTAAAAGGACGAAAAGTTATCTTTTCCTGGCATGATGCTTTTCAGAATTAAGTGTTCTTTCTTCCTCAGATTTTGCTGGCATGAATTGGAGACTTTGTTGCCCTTTAAGGCTAAGGAATCGACAGAAGTGAAATCAAGTGCATATTTGCAAAGTGACGTGACTTATTATGTTGCATGTGCTGATTTCTTTGAGTGAAAATCGGAGTCTCTTTTGATTTATCCAAGTTTTATTTTGCTTCTTGATTTTATGAAGTTCACTCTTTTCATTGTGGTCCTTCAAGGAAATACATGTTTGCTCCCGTTCAAACACATCATAATGGTCTTACAGAATGGCATGCCTATTGACGTGTGTTTTTCTTGTTTGCCTATCTTTTTTCTTCCTTTATAGGGAGAACAAACCGCTTCCTCAGTACTTGGATTTTCCTAGGAAACTTGTCTAATTTCTGTTTTCTTCATTCCGCAGATTGGTCCTTGAATAACTTCTCTAATTCCTGTTTCCTTATGTTCCACCGACTGTGCAGTTCTTTCTGGTATTTTATAGAAGAAGAACGACTATGCTTTTCCCTGCTTGGCGAGCTTTGAGCTTGCAACGGCTGATGGCTTCTTTGAGTGTGTCTTTCTGCATGCTTTGGTCCTTTTATCTGTCTGTCTTTCTTAAATTATAATAAATGGGTGAAAAGTACTCTTTTCGAGCCATGATGGAGATTTGTAGAAGAATGTGATGATTGTCCTGTTATAAGATGTTTCACTTCAGATTTGTTGGCACGAATGGAGTTTTTGTTGTGTTTTATGGCAAAGGTTTATATTTGAAATAGACATTACTTAGGGCCCGTTTGGAATAGTTTTTGCTTTTGCTTTTGCTTTTGCTTTTTATAGAAGAGCTTTTATATGAAATTGCCTTTAATTTTTGTTTGTAAACCAACTGTTAATAGTTTCCTATTCTAGAAGTTCCTTCCGGCATCCTCTAAATACTCTTCTAAGTAGAAGTAATTCCAAGAAATTAGCCAGATGGGTCAAAAAGTAGTTTTTGGATACTTTTCAAATTCTGTTGTATGTGGTGATTTGTTGTAGTCAAAATGATTGGCTCCTGCGGTTCTACTGTTGAGTTCTTTTGCTTCTCTTTTCTTTGAAATTTTCCTTTTGAAGAGTCCATCAACTTTTCCCTCGAGCAGTTGCCCACAGGAACTAGAGTTCATGATTGTTCTTGTTCCCAGGCTACAAGTGGGTTGAGTTTTGTTGATGTCTCAGATAAAAATGATGCGTGTATTTGTAGCATTGGAGTCGACTCATTGACTACAGATTCATTAGCTTTAATTGTTCTTCGCGCTGTTTCTTTATGTTCGTGGGCATTGTCACATTCAATATCGACATCTGTAAGTTACTGTCTTATTTTGTGATTGCAGTCCTTTGATGACTGTTTTCAAAGTAAGTATGAAAGTTAAGTGAAGATTGAAATTATTTATCCCTATAAATTTTATTTCTTGAAAAAATGTCTGCAAAATGTAATAGGTGAATGAATACGGTTGGAAGAAAATAAGGCTGCACAAATCTCACGTTACACTTCTTTCTATGGAGCAAGTAAAATAAATTTGTAGGGTACATGTGCTCAACCTTTTCTAAAAGGATAAAACCTTTTTCCTAATATCTATGAATTTTTTATGGTATATAAATTCAAACTGTAAATATATAATAATTGTCTATCTAAATTCTCAAATTAACGTGGGTTTAATATGACCGTAATCTCGAGTGTAGGTCTCTTACAAGAAAAAAATTGTAAGGTATAAAATGAGAGAATAACTCATAAATATTTATGGATAAATCTGTTTACACTTTATGGTGTATACAAGGTTTTATACTCCTTTCACATGGAAGAGGGTTACGAATATTTTATTAAATGTGGGCTCTCTCCATTTGAGGGAGGGTGTAAAGCTGTGTGTACATAGCACAACCTAATATTTATCAGATGTAGGTTTAAATTTTCAAATGAAAAAATATACCTTTTCGAGAAACTCTTTCTTTTGGTGTGGATATAATATTAGTTCGTTCATTACAAGCCAAAAGTTGGTAGCTCTCAAGGAGTTGAACACAAACTACAATATATTGACATACTTAGCTTTGTGTAGTTTACAGGCACACAACTATATTATTCTTAATATCACACGTTATTAAACTAATTACAAAACTCTCTTATACATGCTTTTTTATAATTTCAAGGTTTTGATTGGCCAATGTGCAGAAGAACCATACAAAGGATATGCCAAAAGGGTTGAACACTTGAACCAAGAAATTGAGGTTTTTTTTTTTTTTTTTTAGTGTGATTTCAAAGTCCCACTTAATTTAGATGTTTTTCTCTCTCACTCTTTTTTTTTTTTTTTTTTTTTTTTTTTTGTAAAC